TCGAAATTTGGTTTCTAGCGTTGTATATATATATATATTATTTGATTTTTTTGTTTGTTTGAACTTAAGCACACAGCTACACAATGGGCTATCTGTAGCTCTGCCCACCACGGGTATCGAAATTTGGTTTCTAGCGTTGTATATATATATATATTATTTGAAGTTTGAAATAATAGTATCTTAGAACTGTTCGAGTATACCAAACGTTTTAGTTCAAACTGATTTTAAGCATTTGTATTCGAAAGAAAACGTATTAACCTCATGTGATTTTGTTTTATTTTTGTTTGTTTAATGCCCACCATTGATGACCAAGAAGAATACAGTCACGAGGACAATGGTCACGGGATAACATCGTCAGCGGTGGATGATACTAAAAGTCATTTCGATTTCAGACCTAGGGTTAATAATCCAGAAGCGAGACTTCTTGCGAGATTTTTTCCCGATGATGAGAGCTACGAAAAATCGTATTATGAGATTTTGAGATCACAAAGCTCGACTGGTTCCTCCAAGCTTCCACCTTCATCTAACTCTTCTCTCGCACCTACGAAACCAACACACATAACAGAATTTGACTCATGGGAGCTCCACCATGGTGGTAGACCAGGTTTTGATATAGGACGCAAGGAAATATACGAAGGAGTAACTCGAGAAGATGAGGAAGAATTCGATAATGAATCATCCAGACAAACAGATGGTCACTCGTTTCCTCGATTACAAAGTTTGTTGGAAAATATGTCAAAAGTTTGGGGAAAATCGAAAGATTCTTTGAATAGACGTGTTTTCATAAAAGATCAGAAAGAAAATCGAAACTTAAACCAAATAGCTAAGGAGGGAGGAAAGCAGCTTTTCGAAAGAGAATGGTCTGAAACCTTAAAGTTTGAATGGTTTATCACTCCTTGGTCTACATGTTCAAGGACTTGTGGAGAGAAAGCACTTCAGGTATAAAGCACTTCATTGTGGACATAAAATTGTTACTTTTATTTCAGTATATTGATTTCTTAAAAGTAAACGATTAAGCTTGAAAGGGTTAGTTTAAACCTATTTTTACAAGCACAGTTTATCCAAACAGTTTTGTATAAGACTGAGAAAGCCATAATAACAGCATTGTGGAAAAAAGAAACTTAAAACGATTGATACTTAACTTTACCGCGATCAGTCAGAATTTACTTTTGACTCATTTAAGATAACATTAAGATAACCAATGTTTTTAAAACAATATGATAAAGATGAGAATGTGTTCTATATAATAACTACAAGCTATTTACATTTTAAAATAAATTGAAACGAAAATAGGGTTTTTTATGATGGGAAGAGTAAAATATGAGATTGAACTTGAAAGGCAACCGTGTTTATTATTGGAAGTTCTGATGTTTAATGAATATGAGACTGAACTTGAAAGGCAACCGTGTTTATTATTGGAAGTTCTGATGTTTAATGAATATGAGACTGAACTTGAAAGGCAACCGTGTTTATTATTGGAAGTTCTGATGTTTAATGAATATGAGATTGAACTTGAAAGGCAACCGTGTTTATTATTGGAAGTTCTGATGTTTAATGAATATGAGATTGAACTTGAATGGCAACCGTGTTTATTATTGGAAGTTCTGATGTTTAATGAATAAATTTTGTACTCAGAAGATTGTTTAATCTCGAAGTCTAAGTTCAAGGGAGGTCCAGTTCAACCTACACTTTGATCAACGTG